TTCCTAACTTGTTTCAAGGTGAAATTAATGCATTTTGACGTACCAAGATATCTGAGGAATCCACAAAGTCAAACGGATTGTACATTCCGTCGCATCGGTGGAACCACAGAATCGATTTATCAATTTGATCGTAACACAAGTAGTTTAATGCCATACACCAAAGATGAACTTATTGAGAATAAGCTTCATAGGCTTTGTTATGCCTCTAATCTTAGGTAAGAAATAATTAATTTAATTATTAGTTTTTATTTTTCATCATACATTCTTTGCATAAAGGGAATCTAATAATTATTAAATATTACAGATATTAGCAGTTGCTAGATATCTGAATATATTGATCTCCGATAAAGCTAAACTGTAAAGTTTGCATAAACGTTCTCAACTTCAAACTGCTTTTAGGATTAACGCAAAGTGTATTATCTGTAATTTTTAGTTAATATCGCAAACAGCGAAGAAGTGGAAGTATTTACAATACAAACAGTATCTGAGGATGCTATCAATGAAGAAGAAAGTAAGCAGGTTCATACAGATGAAACGAATGAGTCGGCGAACGTAAATGCCGATGTTCCAGTAAATGTCACGGTCTCAACCAATACTACTAAAGTTAATTGCTCGTCGGAGAAGATCTACGGTCCTGTTGAGGTCTTACAAATTTATAAAATAGTACAATATATTGAACAAGATAATATAGCTTTCTTATAAATCTGTCATTGTTATAGATTGTCAATGCGACTAGACTCATGGAGCTATTGATCTTGGATCCTGGCCCCTCAAATCGTTCCAGAAACGACAAAGACGGTAAACAGTTACCAGGAACGTGCGTTCTAGTGTTATTCTATGCCCGATGGTGCGTATTCAGCAGCCAAGCTGCGCCGCATTTTAACGCTATACCTCGCTCGTTTCCCCACGTTAAAGCCGTAGCCATCGACGCTATAAAACACCAAAGGTAAGTGTTACAAAATTCGGACGTATGGAAAGAAAATTTGTCACTTTTCTTTTTTTCTTGTCCTTTGGTATTCAAAATTGATTCTACACTGAGAAGAAAATATTTTATTCCAAAAAAATATTTATTAGGTATCTCCCAATAGCATTATTTACTTACTTTTTACACATATTTATTTAGAATTAGATATTTTTATTTAATTGAAATAAAAATATCTAATTCTAAATAATCATGTGTAAAAAATAAGTAAATATGCTATTAGGAGCCACCTAATAAATATCTTTTTTGGATTTTTTCTCAGCGTAAGAAAATACATCGCTTTCAGCTTCAATGCTCAATACGGAATAGTTGGGGTGCCGACGCTGATGCTGGTTCACAACGGCAAGCCTGTCGCCAAATTCAACGACACGACCTATACCCTGGAGTCGTTCGCCAAGTTCGTGTCTCATCTGACGAACCTGCAGCCGAACGGCTCGCTGTACGTTACGTCGGCGGACTTTACGGGGCCGGTTTCGAGCACGCCCTCCAACGAGACGGACTATTGTCTGGTGCTGTCGTGGGTCTTCATAGTTGCCTGCGCGCTGTACTTCACATCGCGTAGCAGATGGTGGCAACAGTTCGTTGAGCTTATTCAGAATACCTGGCTCGAGAGTAACGAAGAGCACGAGCATGCTGATTGAGAAAGGCAGACTAATTGCTGAATTATTTATTCATTTTGTAAACTTGTAAATAGGAAGAAGGAAAATAAATATATACATATATAAAGGATAAGGGAAATTCCAAGAATTCGTTTAAATTTAAGTTACTTTAATTACTGCCAAATTTATTGCTTGCTTTATTTATTGCTAAAAGACTAACTGTAAGTTTAATGATTACTCGAAATCGGAATTAGTGCTCATGAGTGAAAAATATCAACATTGACCCGATTGACCGACACTGATGAGTTTCATATATTCTAATTTTCTTCCTTTATTTGTATACACGTTTAAGCTAAAGTGTAAGTTTAATGTTAATAAAATTGTTTGGTCATTGTACATACAGATCAGTTTATATTTAAAATTTATTAATTGGTTGTTTCCGTAAATATAAACTGTGCTCGACTTTCATTACCTAATTTCTTATTTAAATTATATATCTTATACAACTTAGTTTTTAATTTTAGTTTGCGATTATAATCTCTTCATTTCATTGAAGAAAATTGACAGAATGACGACCATTTAAAATGAGCGTCGTCTGGCGCTATGATATTTATGTACTTTATGTACTTTATTTTTCTTTCTTCCTTTTCTCTCCAACGTCTAATTACATATCCACTTCGTTTCAAGTGCAGAAGGTGCAGGTGCAGCTACGAAGAGGGCGCGATGAACGCGCTAACTTGACGTGCGGCGGGTCCGACGTTGTAATGGCCGACTTCGAGATTCACTTATTAAATTCCCAACTTCACGATTGTTGTGTGCGGCATTTGTTTGCGCTGAAGTTCGTCTCCAATGGATTTGTTGTCGCGGTGACCAGGCCGCCGCGAGTGCTGTGGACCGCTGCGCGGGGAGGAGGACAGGACGGCTCGGTTCGGCACGTACGGAATTTTGCCGGATATTCGACAGGCGAGATGAGAGATTTCCGCAGATACGTTCCCGCAAACGCATCCGTCCGACGTCCCGCGCTAGGTTAAACCGCACTTGACCGGAGAGCGTGGATCGCAGACCGAGGGCGCGCAGCGCGGTGCCGATCGTCCGATCCCGGGGAGAGTCCGACGGTTGAATTATGGGCTCGATCAACCTCATCTGCCCTATGTGCTGCGGCGAGACCTTCAACAATCCTCAGTCCCTCAAGTACCACTTGTTAAGCCTGACGGACAATCTTTATTGCCCCGGCTGTTCCCAGCGTTCCGACTCCGTGACAGCGCTCATTCAGCACCTGGACATGTGCGAGCACGATCTCAGGTACAAGATGAAGCCTGAGATTCTGGCGGACAAGCTCAGGAAGGGCGGAAAGGAGCCCGAGATCAAAATGGATCTGCTAATGGTACGACAAAAGGGGAACGTGAATAGCTTTGTTGGCGATTTACATAGGGCTTTTTATCACAAGCTTCTCAAACATTTGTCTCATGTTATTTTAAACGTTGATTATGATAGAAAATGTTCGTGACAATTTTTAAAGATGTAATTGTCGCACGAACCTTTAAACTGCTTGGAAGTCTTGGAAATCTTGAAATAACAAAACCTGCAAACATGAATTTCAATTGAATTATACAGAAAATTTCGATTTCAATTTAATGCATGATACAGTTTCACAAAAGGAGCAAAAGCATATTTTGTGGCTGGAGCAAATTGTTTTGTCTACTTGCTAACTTATATCGCTAGATAATATTGTACATTAATATGTGCATGTGGATTAATTCATTACTTTTAAATATTCAATGATTCAAAGCTCAATGTATATAAAAAGAGTTTCAAACTGTTTGGTTTTTCCATCAAAGATAATTGCAACTGTTGATTTTAGGATGTCAAGGCGCAGCAGATTAATCGGGGCTTCCTCGCGACGATGGGCAGCAACGGAGTTATCATAATGGGCGATCCGCAGACGATACAATTGGATGAGAATGGTTCGTAGAATTGCTGTTTATCTTATACGTAGGATGTCTGTGGGTTTGACTGTCGTTTCTAACGAAAAATATCAGGAGAGATTAAAGTCGTAGAAAAGATGGACACGGAAGGAACGCAACCAGATGAAAATTCTCTGGATTTCAAGATGTCCGAAGGATTCGCCGGCGACGGTGGCGGAGCGCAGAGAAGATTGCAGTCGTCGCAAGGATTGATGACTATCCCCATATCGAATGCAGACCGCAAGACGGCGTCAATGGAGAAGAATGTGATCGCCGTGTTACCGGACAGTTCCGAGCTCCTGGATGGCGAGGCTGCTGCCCTGATCGATGTGGATCGTTTAAACGAGACAGGGGAGATCGACGAGGCTGGTTTTCTGCGTGTCAAGCGAGAGCTGTGCGAGGTATATCGAAAACCGGATTATATTTGTATCTTACATGTATTTGGCGAATATTATCACGAAATTATTTCTTTAAATTGATAGTAATTTGATTGTTTTTGTTTTTTACAACAATTACAACTTTGTTTCTTGCTTCTGCTGCTACAGCTCGAGTCTGACGCTGTATATAGTTGCACCAGTTGCGAAATGAGCTTCAACTCCGTCCTGGAGCATATCAAGCAGTTCCACGATGGCCAGGAGGTTTTGCTAGAGATGGCGGAGCAGTTGAATGATCTGGCGACGACAAGTCCGGTATCCGTGTTGTCCGAGGGCTCGGAAAATGTGGCGAACGCACGGCAGCGGCAGACGATGAACACGTTGCGCACGGAGGAATGTGTGGATAGCGAGGGTAGGCTCTACACCAGAAAAGTCGTGCAAATTGAGAAATTCTGGGACCGTACTCCGATTCAGGTGACAACGTCACAATCAGCGAAGGCTCCGATGATCGAGAAGTTCTTTTCGAATGTGGAAGGTGTTAAGGTGTGATTTAAAGGCGCGCTTTTCAGCGGAAGAAAAATCTCGCGCGATACGCATTTCGTCACACGTAAGAGTTCATGTTCTCTCTAACGCATATATATATAATATCGCAGGTACGAGAGAAACGCCTGGCGACCGCGTCGATGCGAATGTACAAATGCAATCAGTGCCTGCAGCAGTTCTCCAAGTTGGGAAATTTTCGCGTGCACGCCTGTCTCCGTGGCAATAATCGTTGCGAGCAATGCGATCAGAGCTTCGCGACCCCTAGAGCCTTGCAACTTCACGCGAAGGTGCACGACGGCGAAGCCGATCCGAACCGGAAGACATTCCTCTGTACTACATGCGGTACCGAATTCTGCTCCCACAAAAGCTTACGACTGCATTCGAGGATGCACGCGCCAGTGAGAGCCAGACATGTCGATGCACCCGAGGGCACCCCTAACGCGACTTTCACGTGCCCCGAATGCGGTAATAAATCTATTTTTTATTTTACCCTTCGAATTAGATATTAACATAGTTCGCACTATAAGAATGACGACGTATATCGTTAAATTTTATCACTGAACCGATAATCAAATGTATAACAAAATATGGAGGAGTCGTGAGAAATCCGAACACTTGTGTGTCTCTGCTATTTTAAACAGTAGGAAAAATTGAAACTATAAGGCTCTACAAGGCTACAATAATACGCTAATTACTATTATTATTATTTGAATATATAATGGTAATTTTTTTAGGTAGATATGTGGGAAATCATGAGAATGTGTTTAATGATCTTTTAAATCACACAAAATTTTATTTTCAAGCAACGATATGAGAATAATTGATAACGCGCTTTTGATGTTAAATTACATATTAAGCTAAATAATTTTACCTCTTGTTTTCTTAACATGTCGATTAATGTTCTGCAGGTAAAACGCTATCCGAATCGTACAAAGACGCGCACATGACGCTTCACACGGGCGACTCAGTGACGTGCACTGTGTGCAACCGAAAGTTCGATTCCGCGGATAGCCTGACGATGCACGCGGCGGTGCACGTCGAACTGGCACCTCCGCAGTCGCCTATTATGCAGACTTTGATTTCGACGTCTTCCGAGGCAACGACGACACCAGCAACGATAACACCGGCTTCGACGGTAACGTCAACAACGACGGTGACGACGGCGACAACGACAGTGACAACAATGGATCCAGGGGACAGCCAGAAACCCTATCAGTGCCAGCATTGTGGACGCAGGTTTACCAGACCGCACGAGAAAGTCAAGCATGAACGAATTCACACCGGGGAGAAGCCGCATGCCTGTGAGGTAGGCGGACAATTGTATAGTCAGGTTTTGTTAAGTGATCACATAGACACGTGGCTGAAAGTTTTTTTAACATTAGGACTATTAACGATTAACTTCTATTACAGTGTATATATTATATATCTTTGACAAAAGAGATAAAGGAAAAAGTAAATCAGTTTAATTGTTTATATATTGCAACAAGAGTCACAGGAAATCTCAGAAGATGCACCGTTATAAACTCGAGTAATTAAAAAAGAAATTATAAATCAGTTGTTTGATTGCTTTGGTAGTTCTAGTGCTAATACGTTGTATCTTCTTTCGTTGCGTCGCATTACTAATGTCAAAGTGCTGCGGTCTTATGTGGATTCTGACTTTCTCATTTGCTCCATTAATATTTTTATCTATGTTTATCGGCAGGTTTGCGGCAAGACCTTTCGCGTGTCCTACTGCCTGACCCTTCACATGCGCACGCACACGGGCGTACGGCCCTACGGCTGTCAGCATTGTGGCAAACGCTTCAAGGCGTCCTCCGTCTACAATCATCACTTGCTGACGCACGGCGATGAGCGCGCCTACACGTGTCCGTACTGTCCGAAGACGTTCAAGACACGGGTGCAGCTGGCCGGTCACAAGAACAGCCACACGAAGCCGTTTCGGTGCACTGAGTGCTCACGGCCATTCGCGTCGCTCTACGCTGTTCGCGCGCACATCCAGACCCACAAGAAGGACAATAATCTCAAGTTCAGCTGCTACGTGTGCGGCGCGTCGTATGGCCGGGCGTTCGCCCTCAAGGACCACCTGAAGCAGCACGGTCAGGACGTGCTGGCGCTACCGGAGCCAGCGCGGGAGGAAGAGGTACACGAAAACTTTCTCCTCGGCGAGGAGGAAGCTGAGGAAGACGAGTTCGTGGCCCCGCCACCTCCACCACCGCCGCCGTCTCCACCGCGCTCCTTCGGCGTGGACGACACCAACTGAGGTCAATTGTTGCAATTCGATTCTAGTCATAGAATCGTAGCGCGTCCCGCAAGCTTGCCGAAAGCTTGTCGTAAGCCTACGGAGCGTTCGTGAAGACTGGAGTATTGTTACAAGTTCCGCGAGTTGTTGCGTGAATCGAATAGAGCGGATTTTTTTACCAAACCCAGTCGCCATCGATTGGGACCTAGTTGTATGTAAGCGTTGTTGACTCGTTAACAAAGTTTATTGTCTGTTCGTATTTCCCGTACTGTGTTCGCCGTTTTTCCATCATGAATTCGTGAGCCTGATCGAAAGATTCACTGCTGGGAGCAACTAATCCGCGAATACAAGTGTTGCATTACCTCAATCGATTCGAACTGGACATAATTACGCAACGAAGAATTAGCCGGGTGCTTAATTGGTCTTCTTTAAAAAAAAAAAAGAAGCAGAATTTGAATATATCGTGATGAATTTTTTTGACAGGCTAATAGCGTACATTATATAAATTGTAAATGTATTGACCAATTATTATTGAATTACACACAAGTTTTCAAGTAATACAAATATAATATATTTTGTAATATTTATAATAATAATTATGTAAATAAAAATTAGGGCATTATAATTGTATAAAAATTAGCATATTACGCATTGCATTGCGTATTTATGTCCGACTAGAGTTGTCGAAATACACAAGGCAAACGAAGCTCACGAATCGCTCATTGATGGAAGTCGTTGCGATTAGTTGAATTTGAATATAGCTAAGTTTTTAAGTACGCGCTTTTAATTTATTTGAAATTTCTTGGTAACGAGAAATGGGCTGTCGTACGTGACATATACACATCACAACGGACAAATTTGTTCTAGTTTCAATTTCATGGTTATTTAATTTATTACGTATACAACGATAACATTATTTATCATTGTGTACAATCGCATTATTAGTTGTATTAATTAAAGTTACTCGAAAGAGATTAAATTCCATACGCGTGCAATTGAATTTTGTTTGGACGAAGATTGATCCGGAGTTATTTTTAATTAAATGTGATCGTTTAGTTTTAACGATTAATGTTTCTTATTATGACACTGTTGTTACATGCTGTTGTTGTTTGGAAAGTATTTTTATGACAAATTAAATTTTTACCCAGAAAATTTGTTAAATTAATTCGTCGTGAGTTGTATTATTTCCATTTTTTTTTTAACCATTAGATTGTCTATATCTAAGAAATAGGAAGGAACTTTAACAGAAAGCCGCAACATTGCTTGCATCTTCACACATATTTTCACATAACAGGATCATTTTATTGGCTGTTTCTGTTATCACTCTCGATATAAAAGGAATCTAAATTTACTCTCTAAGTTGATTAAATTCTCTTTTAACCATTCAATCTTTTTCTGTCTTTTATTTTAAGTTTGTGTCATCTCTTTCGACTTTTCAGATTGTACATGAATTATTATGAATCTCATTTCAAAAGCAATTTTGAGAGAGCAATATGAAAGAGATTATATATAAATTGGAGTAATCCTCTTTAATTTTCTTCTTTTATCTCGTTTTCGTTTTATAAACATTAAAAATTGGAAAGAGTATACGCAAGTATAATTATAAGATAAAAATCACAAGTTACTAAATTGAAATTTGTTAATTCCTTTTTATTTGTTTCTAATTTATAGGAATAGTTTCTTGCATAATATACCCATATAGCTATATAGTTACTCCATTTTTTATTGTAAAAATTAGATATCGAGGAAAAAGAAAAGTCAGTAAAAATAAATTGAGAGAAAGAGAGAACAATGTGGATGTGTAAACAAGATTGAAGGAGATAAACAACGTGATTGTTTATTCTTGTACAACGCATTTTTTGGCTGTTGCTATTGAGCGCGTTCAGCAGACCAAGCCGCTGAGTAGCAGTCGAACGTGATTGGCTCTTACTTTTAGAACCAACCAATCAACGCAGAGTGTTGACAAGACGACCTCAACAGTTGTGTGTCTGCTGAACGCGGCCATTGTTTTCAACAATTGACAGTCCTGTATCTGGAGCTTCACATGCTTCCAGTGGTTTCCACCAAATCTTGCCGGTTTTCAAATAATTCCTCGTGGGATTGTGATCGTGATCTTGAGGGTTGGAAAACGACAAAAAGAAGAAAAAGAAGAGGTAACTTAATATATCAACGTTAATAGATTTCAATGTGCAACAGTTTAGAATACTGTAAACGACAGAATTCGCTATCGTGTGCGTAATAATGTAACATAACCTCAAAGTTTCTGTAAATAACAGTACAACTTATTACCTGAAATTAGCAAAAGTACGATTGTGGTTTTAATAATTAATATTTATCAAATTGTTTATTCTGCTTGTTTATTCTGCTGTGAATAATTTGTATCATGTTTGATATTAAGATAATTAGTTAATTATTATAATTTTGTTTTTACTTGCAGTACCACTGTAAATTAATCACTCTGGAAACGATCAATCTTGGTAATAGTGATATTTATGGATAATTAAAAGCATAAGTAAAAAATGGTAAGTACCTATTATATGTATTACAATTTTATTACGTATTTTATACTAGATCTTTTACTTTGTTAATAAAAACACTTTGTTTTCTTTTAGGCACGAAATGCAGAAAAGGCTATGTAAGTGTGATTTTTATGTTTCATAAACTTATTACATATTTGCTGTGAGAAATTCTAATCTCACTATTGTTGATGTTAGTAATTAATACACATGATATTAATAATATTCTTAGGACAACGCTTGCTCGTTGGAGAGCAGCGCAAAATAACGAGGGGACAAGGAAAGAGCAAGAGCGAAGGCCGTACTTAGCTTCAGAGTGTAGAGACTTACGTAAGGCAGAGAAATGGCGAATGCAAATAATTAGGGAAATTGCGAAGAAGGTTGCCCAAATTCAAAATGCCGGGCTTGGAGAGTTCCGCATTCGTGATCTAAATGACGAGATTAATAAGCTACTTAGAGAGAAGCGACATTGGGAGGCGCAAATAAAGGAGCTTGGTGGACCTGATTATTCCAGAGTCGGGCCTCGCATGTTAGATCATGAAGGACGTGAGGTAAAGTTGTAAATAATAATATTTTTTTGTAATCTCTACAAAGTGTAAGTCTCGAAGAGATTTACCGAGTGTTCAATTAAATTACAGGTCCCTGGTAATCGAGGTTACAAATATTTCGGCGCGGCTAAGGAACTACCAGGCGTTAGAGAATTATTCGAGCAAGAACCACCGCCACCTCCTCGAAAAACTCGCGCGGAATTGATGAAGGACATCGACGCGGACTATTACGGTTACATGGACGACGACGACGGTATTTTGATACCACTGGAACAGAAAGCTGAGCAGGAAGCGAGAGAAAAGTGCATCAAGGAGTGGATATCTCGGGAGAAGGAAGGGCCGGAGGTCGAAGTTGAAACAACGTCACAAAAATTGATTCCTTCGCAACAAGACATTCAAGAGGCCTTACTCGTTAGAAAGAAGAAAGAGCTGCTGGAAAAGTACGGGCTAGACTGAAGTCTCTAGAAGATCGGCGTTGCATGTGAAATGTAGACTGAAATGTCGATATTGCGATATTAACTATTGATAAATTTATTGTTAGTTTCATTATATATTAGAATACATTTTTATAAAACGCGATGAATATAATAATTATTATTAATAAGCACGTAATAACATTGATTAAGATAATTAGTTTGTGCAGTAGACATTCAAACTTGAATGCTTATCAAGAGAAACGGGTGCCGTAGATGAAAATATAGATAAAAATCCAAGAATAGTCTGTTTATAATCTTCGCGATATCCGATACCTTTCCTCTTTCCTCATCATTTACAGAGAATAGGCAAAGTGCTTATTCTGTAATGAAATAGAATAACGGAGTAGACACGGTGTAGGTTATCGTTATTCTGTAAGAAAATCTAAATATCGCATGCTCTCTCTCGTTTTCGCAAATGCGTCGTTGGATATTTGCAAAGTGCATCGTATTCTTCAATTTGACCTTGGCTCTCTTATTCTCTTGATACGGCAAGCATCTATTAACGAATAATTCCTATCTAATCCTGCAACATGGTCATAAAACTCTAAAGTAGATTAAAGAAACAAGAAAAATAGTTTACTTCTCAATATCACACGTGAGTTTATGAAAGTTGCCGTTAATCTCGTTTTCAGAACAATTTCGCTTTTCGAAAACATCAAATACAGCGACTAACAGATATCCAATAGATTCGTTACAGCCCATTTTTGTCCGAATCGTAACTCCCGTAATCAATCTCCGAATGTTAAGTACAAAAAACGCAAAATTTCTTTAAACAGCTTTTCTTTAAACAAAAAAACCTACTTTTCGTGAAAATTTATCCTTTCAGGAAGATTGAAGATTAATATGATTTCAGTGTGGTGAAAATGTAAAACACACGTCTGGACACTTCCTACATATCCAGCGGCTTATCACGCAAATTGAAAAACGTGTGGTAAGATTAACGTTATCATTAATTACGTTACACTTGAAAGAGTAAAAGACCTAAAAGTTAAAAAACTACTCGCTAATTTAATTTAACGTATGTCACTCGGGTGCTGACTCGAATTCTTGGAATTCCCTAATTCCCAGTTCGTGTTATAGAAAACGAATGATATAATCTTCAAATTGAGAGATCAATATATCGCTACTTGGCGTTAATTGATTTAAATATTTAAATCACTTCTCTCCTCTTTAGCATCGTGCCGTTTATAAACAGACTGTACATTATACGATAATATCGCTAGGACTCAGAATTACTCTCTAACAATATCAGCTAATGATGCACGAGACAAATCGTGTTATGTGTACTTATACATATTCATATATGATATTCACATGTCATTCACACACATACGCGCATACATACATTTAACGCTAAATGGGGCTGTTTTAACTCATTCTACACTCATATATAGCTGCAGTATACTTTAAACATCTGGTTGAGGAAATTTTCCCATTTAGCCCGTTTTCTTTATGCTATAGAAAATATATGGAAAATTTTTTCAAGAAAAATAATAATACTGCTAAAAATATTAACGTCCATTTATACAGGTTGAAAGAGGGTCCAAAACTTTGGGGGTATAGTACTCGTAAAGGAGTCAAAAATGCTCAACCGGTATAGATCGAAAAATTAACTTAAATGGTTACGAAATGACAATCTACTCGATTTCTGTTGGTAATCCATGGACATGGGAATACATGTCCATGTGGGTTTCGCTCTATTAACAAAACGCAATTAAGCTTAATGTGACACAATAACGTCAATATTCTGCCTAAACTGGCAAATTGCTTTCTGAATTAATAACAAACTTTATGTGATATTATTTTAATATTTTTATACAAAATGAATAAAAAGAGAAATCAATTTTATGTAAAAAAAAGACATGTGGTTCGAGCGAGTCGTCTGTACTACCAAAAAAAAGAAATCGGTTCTATCTCTGTTATAATTAATTTTTCGAGCTATAATCATTCTTTAAATTTTCCTTAATGAGTATCATATCTTTCCAAGTTTAGGATTCTGTTTTTAATACTCTGTATAAATTATTTATGATCATATAACGAGATGTGAATACCATCCATCTCGATATTTTCTTTACATACCTTACAGTTTTGACGTTCAAAATTAAATTGATCTGCAAACAGGCAATTGAACTAATAAAAACTTTAATAAAAATATACGTATTTCTTATTTTGAATTGCTCCATAACATATCCGATCGAAATCGAAGCCATCGAAATCGAAGGCGGAGACATATGTTTTACACGTTTTAAAATCTACAAATAAAAGGTAACACATTAGAGTCTAAACCACTGCTACGTTTAGGATGCTTTAAATTCTCGGTTAAATTCAACGCACATCTAGCGCATATGTTGTACGTAAAAAGAGGAGTACGCGTTATACGATAAAAACAATTCTTCGTGTCCTAAAGGAGATTTCTGAGTCCCCGCAATTATATTTTATTCTCCTAAATGACAAAATAGTTCGAGCATGGATCAATAAATATATAATCATGATGAAAGTTTACTACTAGAGGCTTGAAAAAGTCAAGCGTTAAATGATTCACAGCATCTGTTTGTCCATTAATCAGTCGCGCTGGCTTTGTCCGCTGATCTAGGGGTCCCCTAACGATCCTTTGGTCTAAGGCTATTTTCCACGTTACACTACGCACTTCTATATTTTAATGACAGTATCAAACCGCATAAAACACTAATCACGCTTGTCAGATAATCTTGTAATCGGAGACACGCTTGTACAGTTTCCAAGACATAAGACGTAAAGAGCTAATCGAAACAAGATTTGAGTACTTACGAAGTTAATGTGTTTTAATAAACCAAATTCTATATTCGCGCGTTAATTACATCAATTGAATAATTATAAATGTAAAATGCTCGAAAAATTATATTTAGCTTACAAACGATTGGAAATTAATGTTTTTTCGTGAGTGAAGCAACTTGTTTTTCGTTTTATTCAAGTAGATGGTGCTCAAATATATCTTCAATGTAATATCTAATTGTAAGATAATTATTAAAAATATAAAAAGGATAAAGTTCAATCGTTTGCTGAAAGAAGTGCGTTTTAAAAATCTGTAAAAAAAAAGAAAGAATACAATTTGTACGGAGTTTTTTTTAATATTTTGTACATCTTTATGTTAAATCAATTTCTCTCTCGTAATCTAACTTGGGCGTAAATTTATCGCATCTTTAAATCTTTATCCTCTACTTCTGCGTGTTCCCTAATACAGCTATTGACGGTGGAACCCCTTGCTCAAAAATTCTAATATTAATGCATAAATTATGCCACATCCCTAGCATACTCGTGATCGTGTATGTTTCTATTTCAGTTATAATATATCGACTCTACAATCACATTTGTGTTTACGAAGTGCGTTTTGCGAGTCATTGTGCGTCATTGAATTGTCAAACTGTTGGTCTCGTGTTCCATATCTCGTTCCGAGAGGTCTCGTTGAACCGTCACCGCCGTCACGTCGCGGCGACAATTGGCCGGCGCCCCACGCATGTTATCAATCCATTCTCGAACCATCTCAAGACACCAACGCCCGTGTCCTAATCTTATCTTACTATTACGATTTGCTGCTCATCCATCCAAATTCTCTTTTCCCAGGCATACCTGAAGGGAACGTTAGATATCAGTTGTAAAGAGTTTAAAGTTTAAAGTTAAAGAACTGAACTGAATGAGTCATCAGTAAAAAAACCATTGCATATAAATAAGTGCGTAGATATACACATTATTTATAAGCGTCTTGACGAGTATAAATTTTGCTAAGTAATATCAGTTAGTATTAACGTCTCAATGGCCGCCAGGCCGTTTAGCTTAATATTATTATTGTTAGCAACGTTAATTTATTAACAATTTAGTAGTAATAAATTATTTCTTTAAAGAATGCCTGAAATCATTGGTGGCCAATCTTGGTGTATAGATAACATACATAATCCTAATCATAAGCTTAAGTTATTAACTATATTGGCCTAAGCTCATCATTGATATTTTTCGTTCGTTTTGGAATCGATTGTTACTTGGCAACTACGTTTCATTCACGCATGCCCAAGTTGCACAATAACACAGTTCAAGAAAAATTGACTTCGTCAAATCCAGAAATACTTAATCATTCCCATAATTTTCTTCTCTGAATTTGTCATTTTTTATCCTTTCTTGTTGAACTGCGTAATAAGGCTAATTATAAGGATCGACAAGGAGAAATTGGATGGCTATATTCAGTGTTAAATGCATGCGAGAACACGGGCCCGATATTCGCCACATTGATTCATATGAACAAACACAAGCAGATCGGATATCGAGATCGAATATACAAATATATAGTAAGATGGATTAATATCGACACAACGATGGAATAGCAGTAATGAAGAACAACGATATTGCTGACACGTACAATGTGGCTATAATGAGCAATACATTCATTTTAATATTACAGAAAATACCAATTAGAATATTAAATTCTTTGATAAAGAAAAAAATATTTTCGACAATCTGTTTCGAATTTTAACTGTAAATTTACATAGTGACATTATCAACTTTTAGTCAATTAAATAAAAGTGTAAGTTTATTTTAGGAATATTTTATCTGAAGTCTAATAGAAGAGAGAAAGAAAAACTGAAATACTTTAATCTCGAGAATTGAAAAAATTTACAAATAAATAAGAAGTTCTTAAAAATACGATCTATCAAAGACGCTTGCTATCTTGATATTGTATTAACATATTTATTAGCTATACTAGCTATAGCTATAAAATAGTCATTAAAATTGAAGGAGCAAAAATCAAGACGTGTCTCAACAATTCCGTTGTAGCTCCATCCACGCAAACGACAGACATGACCGTATAATAATAACTCATTGTGTCGATGTTATCCCATCTCAGGGTGGACACACGAATCATTTTTGCAAATTCTCAAATCTTCCAAACCAGAAACTTTTGCTTTCCAAGGAAACAATGGTGTTTCCTACATTAAAGTACTAACTTCTCAGAAATTTTCTATTAAATCTCTGAAAATTTAAGTAACTTTTTTAGGCTTTGATACAAATAAAATCGAGTGCAGACAGCTCGATTTTTTAAGAACATTTTTACTAAATCACAGGAACTTTTGGCTCTTCCTGGAATATTTTAACAATTATGGAAAAACTCTAATTTTTCTAGAGTACATTTCCCGATTCACGCGAGAAGTATCTTCCGGATTTTTAGAGTCCTTTGAAAACGATTAAGAAATCCCAGACCTTCAATATCTCGCGTAACCACCCTGCATCTTAAAATATTATGAAGTCAAGAGATGTAACCACATCTGTTTTCGAGATAACGTCGTTCGGACATTTGAACATTCTGCTTACATTTCGCAACAATCCTTCATTTAGCGTGGCGCGCGGCATAAAAAGGGTGAAAGGCACAAAGTAAAAAATAAATGATTCAGATTGGCTCAGGCACATGTCGAGTCGGAGAGCATCGTACCATGCGACAGGACAGGTACGACGATTGGGCCGGAACGTCGATAAACGCCGGAACAACGATCGCGCGACCGTCGGGACCCTCAACATCGAAGACTAGCCACACTGTGCTCCCATCAGCGTATCAAAAAGGAAATGTACTTGGTACATTTAGACAAGAGTTTGTAACTCAGAGTTTACAGTATTCCAAACAGAGCATCCCGAACAAAACAAAAGCCCTGAAAGTTTCTAAAAGACTTAATTTAAAATTCGATTGAAAGTTGGGGCATCTTTCGAGACACTTTTAGAACGCCATTTAGACATTGGTTTACTTGTTTAACAGAGATCTGAAACATTAAGATATCTTTTGAACTTTATGTTGTCGTGTAATATTTATAATTCGTTTTGTTTAACAGATATAGAAGTTAGAAAGTCTTTACGATGTTATTTGGACACTTGTATTGTTCGGGCTCTGACTTGGGATTGACAGACCGATTGGAATATTGACTTCCGTTCTTCAACCAGGCAGTACACAGTACACAGTGTCTGAGATAAGGAGAAAGAATTGAAATCTCTCTCTCGAGATAAGCCTGCCGCGAGCAATTGTTCTTCCCTAGAAACGCCCTGTTCGCATCTGTTTCCCGCGTACTCTTCGGCGAGTACCGAGTTAAATCGTTTCGCGCTTGTATAGTCGCATCAAGAATGAATCCATGAGAGGCACTCACACGAAGACACCTCAAGGACGCAGTAGCGAGTGCCAACGTTGCACTTGCATCGGTTGCCTCGCCGTTCGCATCTCGTTCCAATGCTGCAGTTCCTCAGATCCGGAGCTGTTCAGACCCAAAGAGAGCCAACCGATCATCTCCCGTCCCTTCCTGCCCATTCCGCCTCGCCGACGGTTGTACACAGACAGAAAGAGTGTCACGTCTCCCAATTGGAACAACGCGATCTATATTCAGAAACGAAAAATGCCACATATCATATTTCACATCATATTTTAAATACCCAGCGTTTCGTTAACCCTTTAACTGCGAAAAGTGTATATACATCCTACGAAAGTAATTTCACTTGCAAAAGACGTTTATACATATACGAGAATTAAGAGAATTAGACTCTGTCAGTCGCAAAATTATTCGATTTTTATCTGAAGCGCGCCGCAGCTAAAGGATTAAGAAATAAAGAAAATCAAAGATTCTACAGAAGAAATTACCTGAAATATAAAAGTCTCCTTATAGAGAGGATTCGGTTGGGCGCGTTTTAAGCCGGTCTTAGACCGGCCCATTTCGTGATTGTTGCTATCGATAAGAGCCAACTTGACGTAAGTGTCGGGAGGTTTTGTATCGTTTCCGCCTCCACCGCGGAAATGGGAACCCTTGATTATTTCAACTGATAAGCGACCCGTCGTGCCGTTGTACGCCAAACCGATTAGGATCTCAGCGACACTGCCTCCCTTCATGCTGCTGCCATAAGGTGGTACAGCTGTAGCAGCATACGACTGGACCGATTGTTGGGATCCCGTGGAATCGCTGCGAGTTAAACTGCTGGTGGTTCCCCAGTCCTGTGCCTAGAAAGTGTAACACAATTTCCATTCCACTGGCAACATTCTGGTATAGATTACATTACATCTATAGATACATTACGCGTCATTGGCTACTAAAAGATAACAGTAATAATAGCTTTGATCAGCGATGATTAAATATAGACTTTTCAAATACTTTACCGAGGAAGAAAGCGGTGGTTGAAGAGTTAACCAGAGGGTAGTTTCTAACTGAAGATTAATGTGATCGAAGGACACTCTGGCTTCACCCAACAATCTTTCCCGACGCATCATTCGGCCACCCCACAGATACACTCTGAGTCGTACACCCATTGCGTTTACATCCTCTGGATTTACACGAGGAAGCAAGAAGCTCTCTATGTATTGCGGAGATGTTCCTTGCCGGACACGGGTTTTGCGTCTTTGCTTTTTCGACGGCAGCAGGACTAACCGCACCTGGCTGCCACCAATACCAGCGGGATAATTTCGCCCTTGTAACACGTGAACCTGTAATAAGGAAAATAATATCCCGTTTATCAGTAGCCGTTTAATTAATTTAAAGCGAATATAGGAATTTATCACTTATAATACAAAATAAGATATAATATAATAATTTAATTTTGTATTTATTATTTAAGTTATTTAATTAAATAATAATTTTACGTAATAAATTAATATATATTGTACATATTAATTACAAAATATTCTTGAAAGCATTTTACCGAAATAAATATCCAAAAGTAATAAAAGAGATAATTATAAAAATAGAAAGTGATAATTAAATAATAATTATACGCACTGTCATCTCACGCATTGGGGCATCATACAGAAAAGCCACTTCCAAGCTACCGATTTCCTCGGCAGCCACTGTGCCCATCGCTGTAATGACGTCATTGGTCGTCGAGTCATTTTGGTCAACTTGTATTTCCTGTCTACTGTCCTCTCTACTGTCAAGTATAATACTAGAAGCCCCAACTTCCACTACGCACTAAAACAAACGAAACAGAATACGATTCTTTCTCGAATTCCTTGAAAATTTTTCTCAAATTAAAAAATAATTAAGAAATCACCTGTTGTTGATCTGCTGGAGAAGGTTCTTCGGTGCAGCTACTGGAGGTGGTTCCAGCATCTATAAATAATAATTAACAAATCCAACTGTACTTAATAATTATTCACGGAGTATTCTCATTTTTTTTTATGTTAACCCTCAGGGTACGGACTATAAAAAAGTTACGTTTCATACGGACATGGGTTAGCCTAACCCGGCGACTTTGATTGACTGTATATCGGGCTGTAATTTGTCAATTGAAACAATTTTTTTTTTAGATCGGAAATTTTCTCAAAAATATAATGGCGTTGATAGATTTATTACATTATTTGTTTAAACAAAGAGACATTTGAAAATTTCCATTCACTTCCTTTGAAATGGCGCTACTTTCAAAATTCGCTCGGGTTACGCTAACCCAATCCGTACTCTGAGGGTTAATATAACAATACGAGGAAGATGTGTATGTACTGACGTAAAATGGAATTTTGTGAAAGTTACGAAGTATAAAAATACTGTAGAGTACAAATAATACTTTTCTGCATGATTATTACACTAGTATGAGGAAGATCGATATAATAATATATATTATTACTATATATCATTGCTGTGTATGGATTACAAGTATATAAAATGCGATAAAAATAAAATACCTCTACATGTGCGTATATAGATATGATACCTACATATTAGACATATAAATGTATAATAATCACCTTTAAAATTCTAGTTAAATTTTAATTCTATTCTGTTGCCGTTACTTACCTACGATAGTCGTTGGTCCGTCCTCCGCTTGGATAGTCAACGTATCCGGTGGAGGATGCGAACGCGACGCGTTTAATCGTCGGAGAGCGTCTTCCTCTGAATCGGAGTTTGTTTCCGGATCCGAATAGGAGAATGCTTTCCCTAGAGCAAAATCATTATCGATTATTATGAATAATTCATACCGCGCAGAAAACCGCAAATATATATTTAAATTGCAAAAATTTGCCAATCAGAAATCTCGCGTAATGAATTATAGGTCAATCGACTCTGATTTATCTGGTATATATAGACTCATTTGGAAAAATTATGAAATTGTTATCGCAGATCGAGAGGGATGAAATTTAAAGAAACTTGAGAATTCGGAATAATAGAAAAAATTTGCAAGGAGGATAGGAGTATGGAAATCGGGATACAAACTAAAATCATATACCTATGTTTTTTGATATTTGAGATGTGGAGCTGTTGGTGGACTCACAGAGTGGCACACAGACTCCGCCGAAGAGCGCGGTAGACGAAGGCGGCGTGAAGCACCACTTCCGGGACAGATAAAGGAAGAGAGCTAACAGGAGTACTACGAAACCGGCAACGGCACCCAAAACTGCAGTCGCTTCCACAGGTACTGGAACAGTCCGAAAAATCGGATTAACGTGATATAAAATTTTAAGAAATATAATTTTTGTAAAATTTCTTCAAAAAATATGTAAAATTTCTCTAAAAAAAACGTATAACATTTTTTTTAAAGAATACGTAAAATTTCTTTCTTCTTTTAGCTCTCACTTTGTGTTTCTTATTGTCCTCATACTATCTACTTTTCTTGACATCTTTTCACGAAGTTTTCTACAAATTTGAAACAAATTTTATTAATGCTAAATGGTAAGTACTTGGTGAAAGTTTAGTGTCAGTTAATGATCGTTACGTGCTAATAAGATGAAAACTTCTGCTATCTCATTAATGCGATAAGTTTGCTCGTTTCTCTGTTCTTCCAGCGCTATCGATTTTTTCTTCCGTTCAAGTCGAAAAAACTATATGACTGCATAACGACTGTTTAATTTCTTTTCCAAAACTATATCAAAACTAATCAAATAATTATATATTACTTTTATATACCATACTTGCCTGACGTAAAGCGTTATCAGCATATGTACATTAAAATGATGGTACTTCTCACTTACTACGTTCAGTTTTGAACGTAGAATATTATCGCTTTATCCCACGCAATTAATTAACTAATGTGTAACATCAAGAATAGGAATTTGGTCTGTAGGTACGTACTGCGGGATATATACGCTTTTATATTCATTATTATATCATGAATGAGATCAGAGTAACATATCAAAAATATAATTAGTACCGAAAAAAATAAACTTTTGTTTGACCATACAGGCAGCATATAAAACTTTTAATTATTATATTGTTACATTTGTTATTTCAATTAAACAATGTTCTGCATGGCACAGTAAAAATAAATATTTTAAACAGAGAAGGGAAAAACGGACGTGAGAAATTTAACTAAAATCAACTGATAAGAGTAATTAAATAAACTAAATAATAAAAAACAGCCACGAAAAAATACAGTACATTTTTTTCACGGAGGTCTTCGTTTCTCAGAAGATCAATTGTAAAAATCGAAGAATATATATTTTCGCCCTCTCGAACTTGGGATTTTACTTAAATTATTACATTTATTATTTCAATTGAAGAACGTTCTATAAAGTTTCTATAAAGTAACAAGAAGCAAACCGAGAGAAGAATGCGGAAAAATGGGCATGATAAATTTAAATAAAACAAACTGGATAAATAACTAAGTAAACTAAAATGTAGAGAATAAGTAAAGTTTAAATAAAGCGGACACGAGAAGGCGAACTGAAAATTCTTTTCCACGAAGGTCTCCGTTTCTCAGAAAATTAATTATAAAAATCGAAGAATCAATATACATATATATTCGCCCTCTTGAACTTGAGAGATTTTTCGCCGCTATAGATATACACCGGGTTGTGTCGTGCTCCGTCATATCGAGCGCCGCGTTAACGCGGCGGCGACATATTACGCGCCGTATAATGACCTGGAATAATTTATTATCGCTCCAGTTGTGACAGACTACCTGCCATACGGAATTGCGCAGCGTTGCACACGCGTTACTCAGGTGCGACGCGGTACGTGCGATTGAAGAGAAAGAGGAAAAACTCATCTCTCGCCCGAGATCGGCGGATTCTTTAATTATTTAATTTTCCAATAGCGATTAAATTTTTTGTTTTAACGCGTAATCGCATCCTTTAGGAACCCGCGTCCCATACTACGCTGCACAGTCATTGCTTTGTATACTCTTCGGAAAATTCTGCTTGCGCAATGCGGCGATCGCGAGGATCGCGTTTCAGTCGCTCGAAGCCGATCCTATCCCCTTAAATCTTCTATAATCGTAAAAGTGGATAGAACGTGGATAGAAGGATAATTCAGGTGGAAGTTAACAAAATATCGATTCGAGGCCTGATTTCCAACGCGTCTTAAAAGGAAAACAGAGACAAAGAGAAAGAGAGAGAGAGAGAGGGGAGGAAATACCGCGCGCCGTGGAGGGGTTCTTCCAATATCCTGGATTAAACGATTTAGATTTTCGTCGTTGTTGAACGAACGCAGCGATGATATATAAATCGCGGGAAATAAAACGGCCTCGAGGCGCGGCGATGCGCGAGAGAGTCGGGGGCATCGTCGCGGGGTCAGGGTGACTCCGGGTCGGTCCGGCACTCCGCGGCCGCGGCGGCGACGGATAGTGGACTTACCCGCTAAGAAGTGGTCTGATCCAGCCAGAATCATGCTCGTCCACGGTGTCGCGTTAAAGAGCTTCCTTACGTGGCTCGGTGGCGCGGCCGGGGTTGCCTCTCGCGGAATAGCGAATGCATTATCCGCATCCGCCCTCGACAAGGTCGCCAGGCGGACGTTCCCGGTGAAAATCGCGCGGGGGGGTAAAAGCGTGGCGCCCAGCTAGCTACTCGGGCTAGCCGCTGACAATAAATACGTGGGCGGGGGTGTAACATACACACACGGCACTCTGTTGCTCGGAACGACGACGCGTCGCGACGTGCGTCGTTCGCCGTGCGCCTGCCGCGCCGAGACCCGCCGTGCGCGCCTGCGTGACGCTAGGCTGCAAGGGGCGCGAGGGCGCGAGCCACCCCCGGCCACCCCTCTCCCCCCGAGCCCCGGAAAACGTGATCGGATCGAGGGACAACTTCGATCAAATTCCAATTAGCTTGATCGCCCGCTTAAC